AAGTCTTTTACCATCTCAATTAGCAGAAAATTCATATTTATATCTTTCTGTATAGTTCAGTCACTCTTCTGTATGCTAGCATCTTCTAGAAGTTGTTCCGTAATTTGTGTTTCTTATGTTCTTATATTTTATTTTTGCTGTGAATGGCTCATTTTACATGACCATACAAAAAGCAGAGCTCTTTCAGTTGGAAATAAGTGTTACTTTCAAGCACCATTCTATTATTAATGTCATTATTTTATCTCATAAATCATCATGATACTGCAATTGGTCAAAACATATTTTCCAAAAATGCTGGCAGTGTAGTTTATCATTACCATGATGAATCAGCTATACCTTGCATAATTGCTAGGCTTCACAATTAAATTCCACTGGAAAATGTACGAGAATTTGGTTTATCTAGAAAACAACTAGAAGAATTTGGTATTAAACCAGATTGTGGCATACATGATTTGTATATGTCTACTTAAATCCCCATTTTTGGTTTTAATGCAAAAAATATCTATGACTTTGCTAACGTCCTTGATGTTTAAGATTGATTTTGCGCAGAAAGCTTTTCCTATTTTCTGGTGTAACTGCTCTTTTGTGAGAAGTTATTGAGAGACCTATAACTATTATGAAAATAAAGGTTTATTAAAGCGAAAGTTAACATGAGAGTTTCTTAACTAATCTACTTGGACTAGAACTCCGGAGAGGATTCAACAAATTCTTCTATTCTGCAGTACAATTAAATCGGCCACTGCAGACAAGTAGCCTTTTTTGGTGTGTGGATAAAACACTATAGTAAAATGGTCTTCAACCATGGAATCTAATCCTTGAGCTAGTAGAATCACATTAAACGATCCTAAGACTAGGTTGACACCAGTTTCTTTCTCTTCATCAAAAGATTCATGATTCTATCCTATCATTAACAACATTTTGATCCTCCATTTTGATTTCACTATTATGTTGCAGGAATTATACCTGTGAGTTTTAATTGCACGAGGTTACCCGAAATAACCAGCTTTAAGTTTTATCATTTCCTTTTCCTTTTCCTTTTCCCTAGATAGAAGACATAGGGAGCTATCGATTTGCTCTGAGTCTTTTGTTTCTTCAGAAAATCAAAACTGCAATCACCATTGGAATATGGAAAAACACATTAGTTTTAGTATTGTTCCATCAGTTACTATATTAATAGAAGTGCTCAGTAAGTAAAACTCATATGTTCAATACTTAGTGTATGTTGGTTAGGTTTGTTATAGTGTGTTTTGAGCTATCCAACTTTACACCGGTGCCTCAGGTTTGTCATCTCAGGTTTGTCATGTCCGACCTCAAAATTATCCTTATTTAGTTGGGGGGTCTTGAAATCTTTGCAGATAGGATATCTGTCAATATTACACTACTTTCTTCCTTTGCATACTATTTTTGTTACTATTGTTGTTGTGCTGCTGCATCTCCTACTTTTCTTCCTCTTTTTCTGGTCTTGCACCACTCCATAACTTATATTTCCAGAGACTAACACGTAAACCCTGCTGTGCATGCAGTGTCCTGCTATTCTCTATTTCCGTTGTTATTTGAAGCCCAAGAGTATCCAATTAAGGTTCTCTTACTGCTTTTACATGCTACACTGATGTGGATTGGATTCTCCTCTCATTTTACAACAACTAATAGAAAAGCAGCTGAAAGTGAACAGACAAAATATGACAAAACGAGGTTCATTGTTGGATGGTTTGGGAAGTTATACTTGCTAGGTCTCGTGGCCGTTGAGATATATGGACAATTTGTTCATCCTATTCTCTTTGCTGAGAGGCTTCCTTTCTTGCCTCTAATGATGATCAGCATATACTGTGCATTCGGAATGATGTACTCTTGGATCTGGCAATTGAGGCAGATTATCAAGTTACATTAACACAGGTAGCTTTCAAATGCAACCAGCTGCTGCTTATATATAAGATAGAACTCGATACATGTAGCTACAACAACAACATACCCAGTGTAATCCCACAAGTGCAAACCTTACCCCCCCTACCTTTGTGGGTAGGGAGGCTTTTCCAATAGACCCTCGGCTCAAAAAGATTTAAGTTATCGAAGCAGGGTTGCATTGGATACATGTAGTAGATAAAATGCTAATTCTAGATCGGCTTTTGTAGTAACTTGTGTAAACAGTTTTGAGAAACTTTAAATCTGATACCAATGTTTATTAGATGCTAATTAACTTGTATCATAGTTGTTAGTGTTCATTTCTTTTCTTAAAAGATTAGCAGGAAGTTGTTAAATTTTAATTATGAAGATAAATATAATCTACCTCATTGTTTTTGGTACATGTTGAAAATTTTATATGGTTAGAAGTAAGAAAATATATAAAACAAAGAACTGTCTTGTTTTTTAAAAATAATCTAAGAGCATATTCGAAGATAATACAACTTGATTTAGACGGTATAATGAGAGAGACACGTAAAAGCTCTAAATTATTTGTGGATTTGACCGAAAATCTAGTTATATGCCTGTTCCAAAAGTCTAGGGTAGGTGAAGTTTCAAACTAATCCTAATATGTTTATTCTGTTCGTTTTAATTTGTTTGTGCTACTTTTTTTTACTTCATTTTAAAAATATCTTTTTTCTTTTTTGGACAAATTTTTAAATTTAATTTTTCGCTTGACATGTTTAAAACCATGAAATTAAATGATATTTTAATATATTTTTAATTCAAGACCATAAAATTTAAATTTGTTATTTATTTTCTTAAACTACTATATATATATATATATATATAAAAGGTCCTATTCAAGAAATAAAAATTTTTTATATAAAAAATAAAAATTCTTAATTTTAAAATTCATTTTTTAAAGGAATATGCTTGAATAATCTCGCAACAAGTTCCTTGATAATGACCAAATTTATAAAACAACATATAAAATATTAGGTTCTTTGTTGTATAGTCAATTTGGAATAAGTATGAAACGGTTTTAATAATTATACCATTTCTTACACATCCTATTTTTACGAAAAATAATTAAAATAAAAACAAAAATTCTCAATTAGAGTTATAAGTCATCCTGCTATATTTGCGCATTGACCCCATAAAAATATATCTTTGGTCTTTATCGATTTCCTTTTTTTTTTTTTTTTTTGTGTTTCCATTTAAGCTTTCTTCATGATGATATCAACCTTAGGCCTAGTAAAGAAAAATGACAAACATATAGACAATTTCTTAAAATTGTTTGTATTTATATTTTAAAACTAACATTTATTTTAATCGAACATTTAAATACATAATATGTTTTGGTTAGTTATTTCTAATTCTAATTTGAGAAAACTTATGCACATATTAAAATAATGCAATGTTATGCGTATTAAAATAATCTAATGTTATGTTGACATGTGGTCCACAACATTGAAACAATATTTTTGCTCAATTCCATAGCAAACCTAACTTAGAAGTAACATTCTATTAATTTGTACTCTATACATAATTCACTAACTGAAAATCTTGACTCTTTCAAATTAATATACCAAGTTTTCCATAACAAAATAATATATTCACTTCCCACATAAATTATTATCATCAAGTCATGTGTTTTTACTTCTTCAAATAGTATTTATGTGTAGTTGTTATAATGAAATCTGTATTAAAAAAATAATAGTATTGATTATTATTTGTTACTCTTAAAACATACCCACGAGTGGTCCCCTATCCGTATCAACTGGATGAAGTGATAGGGGGGGATTCCGTTCAGTCTATCCAGCAGAGGCTCCTAGCCAAATATCAATTAGATGTAATTTTAAGGTTTGCAATTGTATATTCAAAGTTGTTTTTTTAGCTGAAGACAATAAGAGGTTGTTTGGTTGCTAGGTAATACTCATTCGTATATTAGTTATTGCTTCTTCTATTCTACACAATATAATATACTAATTGGCTCATAAATTATACCTAATATATACTTATGTAGTATTATAAAATGTAACCAAATGTCGTACTTGATATTGTCGACTTTTATATAACATAACTAAAAAACTACCCAACATCGTATTTACTAACCAACGAATAAACAACCCCTAAGTTTCTCATTCAAAACTGCCAAGACCTAATCATCACAAATAATTTCCTTTTTAACTTAAATAATCAACATATCCTTCATTTTTAGCTTTTGTTTAATAGGGCTAAAAAAACCATTTCTTCATTTGGTTAGTAATCCTCGACAAAAAAAACTTTCCCACAAGTCACGTAAGAAAAAGAAAAAGAACACCAAAATGTGGGGCGTAATATTTTAATTTAATAAATCAATGGGATTTTTTTTCAAAATAAACAATTAAGCCTGTGACGAGTGCAACAACTAAGCTAAATAAATATTCTATGTTCACTTTTACTTATTTGATTTTTTTTAAAAAATAATAATTAATATAAATATCATATTGTAATATCTATATTAATTATAATTATAATTTTAGGAGAATAATTTAAATAATTAAAAATTAACCTTGAGGATAAAAATTTAAAAAATAATATATTTTTTAATAAAAAATAGATATATATCTTTGTAATATAGTGGACGACTAAAACTGTTGGCCAAAGTAAATAATACTGATTCCTTTTATTTTTACTTGTCACTTTTAACATACTCTCGGCATTAAATATGTATTGTCTTGAACATTATTTAAATAGGAATAATATGGTGAAATACATAATATATTGAAAAAGAGAGCAGCATCATAGGAAACAGCCGAAATTGAGAATTTTGGTCATTTATTTATAAGCTTTTTTTGGAGTTATCATCTTCATTATTTCAACTTCTCAACAACAATTATGGGTTCCAGTAGCAGTCGTATAAGATCATCATCATCCGGGTCCAGGTCCAGGTCCAGGTCCAGGTCCAGGTCAGGGTCAAGACCTAAACGGAGCAAGCTCAAATTTTCCTCTTTTTTCTGTGGTGGTGCCTCCACTTCTCAGTTGGACCATGAGGCACTTTTCTTAATCTTTATCCACCTTTCTATATTTTTGTGTGTTTCAGACAAAAAAAAGTAATCTTTTTTGTTGTTTTTGGGCTTTGGGGTGCCTATTTGAGTTGTTGATATGATTTATCTGTTTTGTATTCTTGATAATTTTGATTCTAGTAACAAGGTGTTGATCATGATCAAAAGGGGTTGCTTCAATTTGTTGCTTTTCTTTTTCCCCTTTATTTTCTTGGGTATTTTTGTTACTTCCTTAAAGTTATCATCTTTATTTGATTTACCAATAGTGAAGTCTGAAGTCCAGAGTTGACTTTTGTGTTTATGTGGTCACTATGCATCTCCTTTGTTTTTTCAGTTGGGACTGGTGTAATGAACCTAAATGGGCTTTGTTTCTTTCTTGTGGTGAATAATTGGTGATAATATGCTTGTTTTTGGTTTTAGCATTTTGGTAATTCATTTGTGATGGATGGAGATTTTTCTAGGATATCTAACAAAGGGTATGTTTTGCTGAAATTGTTGAACTTAAGTAAATGGGATAAAGCGCGCTTGAACTGCTTCGTGCTTGGAAGTTAGATGCTTATTGAATGGTATTCATTGTTGCTCTCTAGCTAGAAAGTCCCTTTGAGCTTTGACATGTGTTTTACATTTCCTACAAGAAACTAAAACTCTTAATCCATTTAAATGTATTTCATCCCTTATATTACCAAAGATGTGGAAGTTGTACTGGGCAGGCTTTAACAAGTGGTGGTTTAGCTATAGTATCATGCATTTTGTATTTGTTCGGTCCTTCTCTACTATGCTGTTATGAGTTTTTTCTTTTGTTGTTATAGCTTCTAGATACTTTTTAAGGTCGTAAATTGTTTAATGGTGCATCTTTAACATTCGTGTAAGGAGCCTATGTGTATCATGCTCACTTCTCTGATCAAAAGAGGCTGCTAATGTGTTTTAAAAGGCTGTATTGCTCAAGGAAGAGTTGACGCAGAGAAAAAAGTTTCGCCTCGGTTGAACAAATTTGCACTCGCTTTACTGCTTTTGAAGTGCGTGCTGGCAATTCAAGTTTATTGCTGTGTAATAATATATTTCCCTTTATTAGTGTCCAGTAGAAAATCATATGTTATATTACTTGTTCTTCATGCTGACTTAATCTTATTATCAAATTCAACCTGTCCTATAATCTTCATCCTTAAATTTGAAATTAAGATATGATGATGTTGTACAGCTTGAAGATTATCCCCAACCTCTGGTTGGTGATTTTTCCCGGAATTCTATAGCAGAATCTTCTTCAACATTCAGTTCAGAAGTTGGTCATGCTACTCAACCTGAGACAGGATCCTCATCAGAAAGCACTAGTGGTCTTAGTCATGATGCTTTTGTTGAATATAATTTGATAAATGCCGAAGTGAACATCAATAATACATGCATTTCAAATGAAAAACATTCAATATGTGACCAGGTTAGTTCTTATCTAAGTTCATAACTTCACATTTTGGACGAATAGTCATATAGCTACTGTAAATGGAAACAACCATCTCAAGAATCGGTCTCTTCACAGGCTAGAGACAGCTTGGCTGCAGCTGTTAGTACTGAATCTTTGACACACTTGAATACTGAAGACTCTCACACTGTGCCAGAAGAGTGCAGAAGCTCATGTTCACATGGGGATTCAATCGAGAATCACGGGGATGTGCATATTGAGTCAAGTTCTGATTCTAGATCTATTTCTGTTACTTCTGACTCTATACCAAGGCATCAATTTCTCGAGGGTGATACCTCTGAAGAAGCAACAACTTCAGGTTCGGGATTTCTTTTGCTGGATAGTGAGCTTGGAGTAAACTCATCTCAAGATGTGCTACATGTTGATGTGGTGAGTATCTCTTCCAACATTTTATCTAGTAGCATTGCTGATATAGGTAGTCAAGAAACAAGAAGAAACAGTAGGCGGCTCTTTTGGGATGCTATATCAAGACTCAGTTTAAGAAGGCATAGTGATTCTCCAACCATTGTTTTCGCAACTGGTCATGCTGATGATCTAGGATCTCGTGACAGATGGCTAATTGATTTGAATGGTGATCTCCATTATGATGGGGTTGGATTTGATTCTGGTTATGGGGCTGGTAGGAATCATCGCAGAAGTGAACAAAGACAGACAACAAGATCTGAGGTAATATATCAAGATCTTTTCTGTTACTCTAATGCTTTTGACTGTTTGAGGTGGATATAGGCAATCCCTGCATTTGTTTTTTTTTAAATATATAGAGAGTATGTTTAACTTAAAAACAGATTTTTCGATCATAATGAGTGTAAATTATATCAGGAGAAGGTAAATGCACTAGTCTTCTTTGTAGGAGGTTTTGGTCTGTTATGATGGCCAATTATTTTCAGCCCTCTTATGGTATACTTACTAGTCTACTTACACTCTCCAAAGCTTGATTATCTAGGCATATCATCCATATTTATGTTTCGCACACTATATTATATCAAATGTTAACTTGCATTTTGTCTCGTTTAATATCGTTTTTTTAGATATATTTTCCACTAGTTGCAGTAGAAAATCTTAAGAAAACATTGGTCTCAGCTAATTTTCCCTTTCTTTTTCCATGTACATCTTTCTTTATTAAGGACATGCTGTCTTACATGAAAAAACCAAAGGTGCCTATAATGGCAGCAATTCAAAGAAGTCTTTGTTTTTTCAGTTTTTTTTTTTTGGTTTTAAAATTATGTGTTTGCACAAATGTGTAATTATAATTCTACATTTTTTTATGAGGTCAAATGCATCTTAACTTTATGTTTGGTCATTGTAGCATCGTGAGGCTACTTTCAAATACGGACTACTTGGCACTTATATCACTTCTCTTTTGAGGCATTTAATATCATGTTTCCTTATGTTCTTTTTATTTTCATACCTAGAATTCATTAATGATGTATTGCATATACAGACATCTGAAAGAGTTCTTGAAGGCCTTGGTAACCGAGTTCCACAACAAAATCTTTGCTCATCAGGCCTTCATCCTGATGGTTCATGTTCGTGTGAACCATTACTTACAACTGAAGAGTTCAGTACCCTTGCAAGTATTTCACGAATAATTATACTAGCAGAGGCCTTATTTGAGGTATGTCTCCAACATCTAATGTCCTTAAGTTTCAAATTCTAGTGGGTATTTTTTGTTAGGAATGACAACTTAAGAATATTCTCTATGCATATATGCGTCCTTCCTTTTCCCTATTCAAGTCACATTCAGGAGAATTATTACAATGAACTCTCATGTTGTTTGTGGATTTTGAGGATGCCAAATTTACTGTTATTTCCATATAAACACTTAGAAGGAAATAAGAAAGGAACAAGACAAGTTGTTGTATAATTTTTTTATCTATCAGCTCGTGCTATTTGACAATGGAGTATGTCTAACTCTAGATTGAGGGATGTAAGACCCCTCCTTTTTGGACTGCAAGTTGGGAATTGGCTTGTCTTTGAACTAGAATAAAATAGATCTAATTAGGCGTTTACCTATCTTTGGTTGAGATCTTCTTTCCTCTACAAAAGTTTGTCCCATTTGTGAATCAACCTGTTTGGTTTAGCTGTGTTAATTATTTTTAAAATAGGAAGTTGTGTTGTGTGATATATTTTTTTCTTGACTACTGATTGGAGGTATTGGACACCGGGTGGAAACCAGGAAAAAAGAGTGGAATTAAGATTTTTCTTTTCTTAATTGATCTGTGTTGCTGGGTGTTTGTTAATCCGTCCTAAAGAAACTTTGCATCTGCATTATTTCTTGGTGAATAGATCGCCAAGGGTAAACAAAACTCAAGGAGCATAGTAGAAATGCTTGACATCAGTTTATCCAGTATTAAGAACCCTATATAATATTTCCAGCTGAAAGCGTGAATACATCCAACTTGCATAGTTTTCTATTCCGAAGGCACTTGATTGTTGCCAGTTACCTTAATCGCAGAGACCTAAGTTTGGATTCAGTGCAAGCTTGAATCTTAGTAAATTTTACAGTGTTCAGCACCTTCTCCGAGAACAATCTTTTTTACATTGTTCAGCACTCAGCACTAATAGCATAGTGCCTGCTTAAAAGCGTACTATAGACACAGATTGAGAGGGATATACTGGATACTGAGTGAATGTACTTTCAAGATTGAAGGCTAAAGGAATGAGGTGTTCACGGTTACTGATTTTTTTCATTCAATAATTTGTGACCTGTTAATACTTTCTGGCATCTCCACTTGCCTTGTTATGTGATTGCAATAGTTTGAGCTGATATGGCTTGGCTTCTTTTCTTAGGTCCTCGATGAGATCCATCAACAATCTTTCACACTTTCGCTATCTACGCTCTCGCTTCCAGCTCCAGATTCTGTTGTGGACTCATTTCCTCTCAAGTCTCACAAGAAGTTAGGAGCTATAGACAATGCTCCCACTGATATCCAACAGTATGTCTTCTTAACTAGTTGAATAATTGATATGCTTGCTTGAGTTATGTTGCCTCCTAAGGTATATACGTTAGCAGTCAGTAATTGGCACTGCCTCCTCCCCTCCAAATAATAGTTTTCCGCTTTGGTAGCTGAAATCGCTGAAGAGAAAGAAAACAAAGAGATTAAAAGAAGTCGGAGAAAGCAAAAGAAAAAGAACAGAAAGTTGTTCATGCATATTGTCAGTTCTACGATTCTCCAGTCTCCTACTGCAGTAGTTTGTTATTAATTTGGATTTGTTAGGAAAATCAAATTTAAAGTTTCGTCATGCATGAATTTTGGCTTAGCTAGCATGCTTGTGAAATACTTATAAAAATATAAATGATCTCTCTATAATTTTTCTTAAACTTTTGACACATAAATTTCCCTCTTTGGATTGATTTGACTCTTTGGTTAGATGTAATGGGATCTAATAAAGCTATCTTTTACCCAGTTGTTAGACATAAGATAGCCGGATTTTCGATCCTTAGGCAATCTTCAGTCTTCACTAGTAACATCATGAAGATTCTTGGCTTAAGGGTTATGAGCTTTCCTCCCAGTTTGTTTTGACGAGTATCCATTACTCTATCATCTATCAAAGGCTCTATCTGGTTCTTTATAACTGAATTATCTCTCTTGATCAGTTATTTGCAAGTTTCAACTCTAAGTGGACCTTGCCCTTATGATCACTAGATTGGGGTAGCCATATTTCAAAGCTAAAATTTCAGTCCCCACCAAATTATCCATTTCCAGAAGTTTCTGCTGATTCAAAGATGTAATTTAAGCATCAAGTAGTGTTACAACAACAACAACATACCTAGTGTAGTCCCACAAAGTGGAGTTTTGGGAAGGTAGATTGTGCGCAGATTTTACCCCTACCATCGGAGGTTGAGAGACTGTTTTCGATGGACCCTCAGCTTAGAGAAGAAAATCCAAAGTAGTCCCTGAATAAGAAGTAAAGGAAGTACGAGAAACAACTGATAATAACAAAAAGGAAACAACAAATAGTAACAGATACTTAAAACATTAAGTAGTGTTGATGGGAGAATTTTCTGTTCTGTAGTCTTTGACTTTCTATTTGAATTTCAAGTGGCAAAAACATGAACAGCCTGACAGCCTTAATATTCAGCCACGACAATGAATTTCCGTAAGACTACATACTCTGTATTAATAAGCTGTACTATGTCTTTGCAGGTGCCACATTTGTTTGGCTGAGTATGAGGAGGGAGACAAACTGAGGGTGCTCCCTTGTCGCCATGAATATCATATGCATTGTATCGATAAATGGCTTAAGGAAGTAAACCGGTATGTTCAGACAATTCCGTGTATTGCTATGTACTTTGAGATGTAACTTGTGCCTCACTTTTGTATTGATTTCCTACTTTCTGGTTTTCCAGGGTCTGCCCAGTTTGCAGGTGCAATGTTTGTGAGAATCCCGCGATTGGTTCTGTCTCGAATTCAGAAGCTTCTTAACAGTGGTGCTAAACTGTGTAAATATAGAACAGAACAGGTTTAGGTGAAAATGTAAAAATGTTGGATTGAATTGTGTTAATATAGCTGCAAGAATTGTAAATATATATGATGATATGTGTATAGGTAAAATTGGGTTGAAGAGTTTCTATTAGCTGTGAAAATTTCTTCTTTCCTTCATTTCTCTTGTCTCTTTCAACTCATGCTAAATATTTTTTTTGGTTTCCCAATCCAGTGTCCGGTACCTATATTGGAACCCAACTAAATCCGAATTTGCGCCGGGAAGCGCTCCCTAACAAAGGAGACTCTGTGCCCAAGAGGACTCGAACTCGAGACCTCTTGATTAAGGAACTCATGCTAAATATTAAATGAATGCAATAACTCCAACCCACAAAAAGTTAATTAATAACTCATCTCAAAAGATTAGAAAATTAGTTTCAAACAAAAATTTATATGACCTATTTTTTCTGAAATATGCTTAATGAGAATTCTAAGCCTCTTATTGAATTTTGGTTTAGCACCACCGTTCTTATTATTGACACTTTCATATCGTTAGGTGTAGTAATATCTATTGTCATTTTAATTTATACGTGCTAAAATAAAATTGTTTAATTTGTTGTGAACTCAAGATTCATGTAAGTATATTTTTTTTTCATTTTGATATAGAGCAATAACAATTCATGAATCTCGTATACAAAAATTATTAAATAACATAGTACAATATGATTAGTATTGTATTTATTCGTTTTGCGTATTTATATCCTCATTTTTTTCGGCCTCTTTTCTTAAATTCGCCGAATCAATTATCCATTTCATATAGTAAACTTTTGAAAAAATGATACCATAACAATTCATAAATTTCGTATACAAAGTTCATCAAATATGATTAATCTCTATTTAGAAAAATAAGTTTAAACGAAGGATAAATTTAGATATTTATATTAGCATTTTCAGGATTCAGACTCTATCGGTGGGATTGCATTTGTATTTATATTTGTAGTAGCATAATCTTCGTTGTCATTATATGGAATACAGTCACAAATTTCTCCCCAGTCACAAAAAGGTCTACAATGGCGACCTTTAACAACGTAGGCACAATCTTCATCTGTATAACATGCTAATCCACCTGCAAATGTATTACTTAGAACACCTGTAAATAAATATCATTAGTCATTTTTGTCATGCTACATATATTAAGTACTTTGCATGTGTGTATTACGTTAATTCATGCTAGGAGAAAAAAATTGTAGTTAGAGAGAGAGTCAGAAACCTCTTGCAACAATAAAAAGTGCCATAATATAAACCAACTTCAAGGATGTCTTCTCCATATCTAGAATATTTATTTGTAGTTATGTTTGCCTTTTTTTTTTTTTTTACTTATTGTATAAAAACTTTAGACACTTTTATAGTTTAGAAATAGTCATATTTATGATAAATTGTCGTTATATTTTGACAAATGTGCTCTTTAATGCTCTTTTCTACTATTTCAAATTAAATTAACGTAACTCCCTTTAAATGCCTAACGTTTTCTTACGTAATAGAGTAATGTTTTTATCTCAAATGAATTGTATTTTATGAATATAAATTTAATTTATATTTTCTTAATTTAATAAGGTGAACAACTAATATAAAATAATTATTTTTTATTATAATGGTCAATTAATATGAGACGAAAGAAATAATAATTAAATAAAAAGTGTACATGTGAGTTTCAGTACATATAGCAATATACTCCCTCTGTTCCTAATTACTTGTTCATTTTGACAAATCAAGAAAGGACAATTTTTTTTTACCTATTATACCCTCAATTTTTTGAAAAATGTAGAATTTCTTGAAAATCTCAAGTTTTTAATTCATCTGCTTCATAATTAATAGAATTAAAATGGTAAACTCACTATGTCAATAATTGTTTTCTTAATAGGTGTGTCAATTCAAAAGTGAACAAGTAATTAGGGACAAAGAAAGTATTAGACATAATACATAAACATGACCCTTAACTTGGCGTCAGCTAACAACTATGACCTATAACTTTGGGTGTGCACAAGTAGGCACTTAAACCTGTAAAAAATTGAACAAATAGACACATTCGTCCTATATGGCACCCTACGTGGCGTCCTACATGGATTATGGCATGTAGGACACATGTGGGCATACTTGTGCACACTCAAAGATGGAGGGTATAATTATCCGCTGAAACTAAGTTAAGGGTCATGACGTTTAATCATGCTCAATAGGCACAGATATCGAGCAGGGACTGCCACCTGAATACTTTATTAATTACTCATATTAATTAATAGAGCCATAGTAATAGTTACGTTTCATCTTTCTTTTCCTTTTTTTTTTGTCTCATTTAAACTAAAATGATACTGTAATAAATAATACATATGTGCCTGAAGAATAGGCGAATAAATTGAAATACGTTATTTTGGGGGCTCAATGAGAATGTGATCTGTATA